ACACCACTCTCCTCCCATACAGCCTCTCAAGATCATAAACCAATATTCTGGCCTCCGTGATATACCGATTCTTATGAACATTCAACTGATTGTTATGAATAGACTCCAAAACTGATTTACAGTCCGTCAAAACAATAATATCATGTCCTCTAGTATGCCTCTGGATAAGCATCAATTGAAGAGCCGATTTCACAGCAAACGCCTCCGCGGTATATGACGTGCATAGGTATGGCAAACTCATTTTATAAGCAAATTCCTCATCACAAATGACCATACTAGCGCCAGTAGAGCGTTTAGACTCGTCATAAGATCCATCAGTATATATGATCTCTGGGGAGGGCCCCAGGTCGTACGTACCGACGATATCCTGAATAAGTTGACTATCAGGGCATGTACAGTGCTTTCTGGTAACACCAATATTAAAATCCACAGTCGGAATAAAAGTATGGGCGCCGAATGATCCGGTGAATGTCTCAAACTTTCTTGCAGCTCCGATTCCCGTGCTAAATGATTGTGTCCTTTTCCAAATTTCAGTAAGCAGGGAGAATTTATAGATAGGCTGAATAAACCGTGCATAGTTTTCACAATCAGCTAGACGCTGGAACTTAATGCACAACCCATTGTGATTGTACGCCCTGATTTTATTAACAAAATTGCAACCAAGCATAAATGCACGATCTCTAAGTAGTCTCACCTTAGCCTCAGCTATTAATACGTTGTTTGGAGTGCTATTTCTGTAGCCGAGAGCAGTGCGAATACCGAGATACTGAGCTCTCTCCAGCTTCAACTGAGAAGCAGCATCTCTAGGAAAATAAACAAAAATACCATAATCGGTTACGGACCTGACAAGACTCTTGTATAACATTAAAGCCGTGTTAACTTCCATTCCTTTAGACACACAACATAAGTATCTAATCAAAGAGTTTGCCCTTGACACCTTGGATCTAACCTCCAGGACCTGCCGAGTGAACCTGAGCCCACTGTCGAGCCAGATGCCCAAAAACTTCGCCCCGTTACTGTTGTGGACATTACAGTCACCAACCCGAATGAATAGTTCCCCATCAACATATCCACTCCTGGAAAACTCCACAAGCACCGTCTTCCTCGGAGAGAGATCAAGACCAATTCGCGTAAGTCTCTCCGTTATAATATTGACAGCCTGCTGAAGGAGAAGTCTATTCCGTCTGCGATTCGGTCCAAAGACATACAGGCCCACGTCATCAGCAAACTCAACGGCTTCAACGCCTTCGGGGAGGTTGGCGCATAGTCCCCGGGTGTAGAGAGAGTACAATGCCGGGCTCAGAACAGCGCCCTGCGGGAGCCCCGTAAAGACCAGTCGATCCACAAATTCCTGGGAATTAATTATGAAGCGTACACGTCTACGATATAGCCAATTACCAATGAATCTGACTATGCCGGTGGGGCAATCAAGCGCTATAAGTTCCTCCAGCATAATGCGGTAGTTCACGCAGTCGTAAGCAGACGACACATCGAGAAAGACCGCCAAAGTATACTCCCCCACACACAGGGACAATTTGATGTCAGTAACAATTCTAGCCAAATTATCAGCACATGACTTGCCTCTTCTGAAGCCACTCTGCGATGGGCTGAATTTGTCCTCCCTTTCTGCCCACCAGATCAATCTTTCATTTATCATGCGTTCCATGAGTTTCCCGATACACGAAGACAATGAAATAGGACGAACCTTCTCCTTCCCGACCTTATCAATAAAAATAACTTGATAGTCCTGCCAATCTGACGGCAGATTTCCCGTCTTCCAAACTATATTGAAGATCTTAAGAAGACAAACTCTTCCGGAGTCCGACAGGGTAATAATCATCCTATATTCCATTCCATCGAGGCCCGGAGCAGAATCCCTCCTAACCATATTGATCGCTCTGTCTAACTCCGAACGGAGAAACGGGGCCTCCAATTCCTCATCTGCACAGTCATTGGCAGAGATCGTAATCGGCTCCGCACCAACAAATGGAGGAGCCAAGACGTCAATTGATCTTCTAATTTCGTCTTCTCTGCTCTTAGTAGACCATGAATTCCATTGAATATTTTTCCCGGCGTTCTTCAAAATGCGCATGGTGTTCCACACATACCCCAGACTCGTAAATCTATTAATATCCTTACAGAAATTTTCAAAGCTCTCTCTCTTCTTACTTCTAATAGTTCGTTTGGCAAGAGCTCCCATCTTCTTGTATTCAACCCACGCATGGAGGGTCTTGGTTCTTTTAAATTCGGTGAACGCTTCCTTTCTATTGCGAATCACAGACTCACACTCCGCGTCCCACCATTTATGGGATCTTTTAACTTTATCTGGCACTCTTTCTCGTCCTAGATCAGACGAAATTCTACGTCTGCCAGAGGCGGTGGCGACCGATCTCTTGAGAATATCAATAAATTGACGATAATACCCCTCAAAATCTCTCTCAAACAGCTCAATGTTCGGTAAGAGAGAGGCCGTGATCTCCTTCTCAGCCAAATCACCGTATTCAGATCAGACAGTTCTTTTAGATGAAATTCTATTGGTGAGTTTTCTGTAAGTCTGTATAGAAATATCAAAGCTAAAAGAAAGAGGATAGTGGTCGCTGTCCCAAGTTTCCTCCATTTGTCGGCACGTGACACGATCGACGATGTCTCTCGTACCAAACATCAAATCTATGTTAGAGTCCCGCTGTCCACGCGCACCAACACGTGACATAGTGTCTGTGTTTATGCAGAAAAGGTCCTCATCCGTCATGGTCTCACACAACATATCACCATTGTCCGTGGTAGAATGGCAATTCCACGCGACATTATGGGCGTTAAAATCACCTAGAATGACAGAGTCAATAGATCTATCGCCAATACTATTAACTAATGAATTAAGGTCCCGTCTCGTGATGGCACCACGGGGGTGTCTGTATATGGCCAGCACATTTACGTTCTTATGTAAGTTCTTTGTCTTGATACCCACCGCATCATAACCTGCAGGAATGTTAGTCATAGAGATAACGTCGAAATGAACATGATTACGGACAGAAATCGAGACACCGCCACTGCCAAGCGGGTTTGCGCTATGCACCGTCTTAAATGAGAAACAAACGGAGAAACAAACAAACCTCTTCCCAGTACATCTTGTCTCAGTCAACACCACAATATCAAAGTCCGTGACGCGTTTGGAGAGCTCATCTTTGCTGGTTTGATATCCACGGCAGTTCCATAATAGAAGGTTGAATTGTATAAACAGAGGGGAGACTAAGATCTCTCTTTACTATCCCATCGTGCTCTCGCAGCCAATCCCTCCTCTTCATGACCTCCAAGGCCACCATGACCCCGAGAAGGCCATCCATATCGGCGAGGGTCACTGTAACTCCTCAATGCTTCCATTAAAAATTCTCTAATTTCTGGGGTTCTATTTAATATTTGCAAAACATTATCTAATGCGTCTCTGACATAGCGATCCTGCGAGCGAGGGACTCCTCGCTCCGCATCCGCGTCCTCCCGGATGACATCCGACCAAGCGGCCGCATTTCGAGATGCTGTCAGGGCAATACCTCTCCTTTCTTTGGAGATATCCCCTGCTCGTGAGTCAAATTGTTTGTAATAGTCCCTGACCACATTGGCATAAGACACATGTGTGTCCCTAGATCTCCTGTCTCTACGCAGGGGAGGATTGCGAGCATCCTCAGTACGGGTCCTCCGCTGCGCAGGCACCTGCCGCCCGCTACGCTCCTCATTATCCACCTCTCCATGAGATCTGTCCCCGGAGGTAGCCGGCAAAGACGGCCAAGCGTCTGGGTTTAAAAATCTGTCATACGCCCTGGGAAGAGCTATCTTATCCCCCTCCACTATCCGTCGTGCGCTGTGAAACGAAATGTTTTTATAAGCCATCAAAACATTAATATTTTTATTTTTCTCATAGGCAGGGCAGCTTCTAAAAGTAGACTTATGAGAGCCTCCACAATTGTAACAACGCGTGAGTCTATCACATTGGCCATGAGATTTTTCCCCGCAAACGATACAGCGGGTCTCGCTTTTACACGCGATCTTTTTGTGTCCAAATCTAAAACAATTGTAACACTGTTTAGTTTGAGGTATATATGGTCTTACCTTTAATCCCACACCATTAGAAAATATCTTAAGATTATGAACTTTATTTTCCTTGTACGTAATAACAATGTTGTCAGTAGCCAGCAAAGAAGATTTCTTAGTCGTAGGGTCCCACCTTCGTCGGTACATTCGTTCTAGTTTAAGGATGTTAGCTTTGTTCTGTATTACCATCCAAAGGTCGGTAATCGACGAAGGCCAGTCTGTAATAACACCTTTACAAGTCACTGATCGTTGTTCTAATAAAGCTTTTAGTTTGACAGGTTCACTCAGTTTATTAATGATATCCAATGCCCGATTGGCATCGACATAATCCTTAAATGTAGCCTCCGCCGAGAAGTGGTTAAGCATAACGACCGATGTTGGAAAAATACGGAGGTCCACCAAAATTGACCAGATTTTTATTTCATTCATACCTTTTCTCGTGGTCGCCTGGTCGGGAGGTAATCGAAGAGTAATTTTAGCATTACCTAAGAAATCATCATCAAATCTTGCATAGCGATGCGAGTCATGTATTGGATTTCTAAAGTCCCATTTAACTAAAGCAGAGCCGTTCACTACATAGGCTTCCTTGTCGAGAAGATCAGGCAAAATATTTACAATCGTATCACACATGCCAACACTACTGTTCACGTGATCCTCATGAGGCGGCGGAAGCTAGGGCACTTGTATCGTCCTTGTTTCCGCCATCCCCATCGGACGGGGTCACTTGGTTTATTAAAAAATCGTGGCCCCGATCCCGTAAGGACTGATTCTGGAGACCAGCCTCCACTTCTATATTCATCCCTCCCAAAACAGGGGGGAGATTGCAACACTTATTCAGGTCTTCGCCCCGCTGTCTCTTTGCTACGGATTGTCCTTGACTTCTTGTCGTCTTCTTATCCGCCGTATTCACTGCCGTGATGAGCACGTTGGTAATTTCATCAAATTCTTTCTCAGTGTAACAGGTTTTTAACTTCTTATGAGTACCACGCGAACCATTGACTGAAGCGTTGGAGTCATCATGTGGACGTGTCGTGTCCCGTCCTACAGGATCCATCTAAATCCTAATTAATGGATTAAATGCTCCCCCTCCGAGGGGGGAGCGACAAGCTGTAAAAAAAAATATAAGTATCCCCCTGAGGGACAACCGAATCACCCTCCCAGAAAAAAGTTGTTGGTCACAGTCTCAATACTGAAAAGCCCGGTATGAAGCGGCAGAGCGCGCACGCAACTCACGTCCGACTCACACGACGGTCCGAGCCGAACTCCCCCTATATCTAGGTAGCAATATTATAGGTTAGAAATTGTAACGGCCTGACTTTATCGTCGAACGCGGACTAGTTCGCCGGATCGGGAGTTCGACTGAAAGGCCCAGAGACAATAATCAATTTGCAACGTACCAGTAACATTCACTTTATTCAACTCGGGATTCGGTATTACACACAAAGAATAACGGGACGCGGTATATTACAGTGGTCGGTAGTGCCGGTGCACTCGACGCGGTATACGGAATATCGGAACGCGGGTCTACAACTGGACGCGGTATTTACAAGAATCGGTAGTGCATGTGCACTCGGGCGGTAGGACGGACGAACAAACGCGGTATATCTACAGTGCTCGGTGGTGCCCGTACATTCGGACGATAAAACGAAGGCGGGCTTACAATAGTCGAGGGACGCGGTGTTTTGCCGGGGCGTATGCACCTCGTGCTGTATGCCGGCAAGGCTGAGACCTGGGCGGGAACGCGTTATATGCAACGGGGAATTGCGGGATCCCGGGGTCACGGTCGCGAGAACCCTCGCTACGAGGCCGAACACGCTCGACCTCGTTGGGCCGTAGCCGTCGGGAGTAAGTGCGATGGAATCCGGAGACATCTGAAAACGCTCAGTCGAGGCCCATACTCTGGACCTCGTTTTGTGTGTCGCCTGGGGATCGGGATGGTAGGCTTCGTCGGAGATGGCTGAAGGCCCGTAGGAGACGAAGTCGCTATCTCTTCTCTTGCCGGAGCGCGGCTTATATACCGCTCGGCGCGGCGGGTTCGGTGGGAGGGAGGCCAATCGTCAGGCGGATCGCGCGGTAGTGGGATCGGTGCGGTCCCGCGCGCCCGTCCTCGGCGTGGATCGGCTCCCTCCGGCGTTTATCGGCGCTGCGCGGAGAAGGCACCGGTGCCGTGTTTTAAGTTTAAAAGAATCGTTCGGGCGGCATCCGGCGGGTGGTGCGCGGGAACAATGCTTTAAAAAGACGCATCGTTACAAAATAATCGAAGGAGATAATGCTATTGTTACTGGAACAGTACGAATTTCAACCAATGTTGAAAATGAAAAAATATCAGCTAATCTTGCTGAATGTATCGATGATGAGGAAGAAATCAATACAAAAGACATCTATAAGGAATTAAGACTTCGCGGTTATCAATATGCCGGCGCATTTTGTGGATTAAAAAGCGCATCGGTTACTGGATCAAACGGTCATGTCGCATGGACATCTAATTGGATGGCATTTATGGACAGTATGTTACAGATGATGATTTTAGGACAGAATTCAAGAAGCCATTATGTTCCAACAAGAATTCGCAAACTGATTATCTATCCGAAATATCACACACAGATAATTCAGGATTATCCAATTGAAGATAGACGTAAGTAAAATAAGTGATATAATGCGGCCAATTGCTTGACAAATAAATTTCATTCGCTACGTTGCAGAATTCTCTGTTCGTCGTTACAAGTCTTTAGACGCTATAATATCTGGAGGAATAGAAATTTGTGGCACTGTGGCTACACCTATACCTCGCCGACAAAAAGTAGTTAATACCATTCTTGAAGAATACGTTGCTCATGGTGATTTAGGTATTATGTCGTTGCAAGATGCAATACGAATGTCGACGCACATTGCACTCGAATGTTGCAATATGATAAATATTAAAATTATCGAATTTGTCGATGATAGTGACAAAGTGATATCAGAAGATTTAAATTCTCTACTTATTAGTGAAATCTTAAATGATTTACCGCAGATTCGACACCACACTAAACTCGTGACGATCCACGAGAAATTCCCAAATATTTCTTTGCCCGACAACGTGTTTCTACAACGGAAATTACTAAGTTATCGAAGGACGAGAATTGTTTGATAGTCCTTGGTTTCGATATTTTGACAAAAAATAGCAAAAAATTATATAAACAGTTGCTGTCTCTATTAATGCCAAAGGGTTTTCTACTGACTTTGGAGGAATCCGATGCGGTCTACGATTATTTGTGCCTGAAAACGTATGAGTTGGATATCATATTGGAAAAACAAATAAATGACAAGAAGCTTAATATTGCGAGAAACCAGCGGATTGTACATGTAAACAATTACGAATTTTCATGGGTAGATGAACTGAAATCAATCATGAATGTGCAAAACGAGACTGGTGTAGATACGGAGATAATTCTCGTCTCGGAAGAAGACTTCAAATGCGGGCTACTCGGTTTTATTAATTGTTTGCGAAAAGAACCAGGCGGCGAATTAATTAGAAGCGTATTTATTCAAGATTACAAAGCGCCTACATTTTCTTTGCAAGAACCATTGTACACGAAGCAGCTACAGTTGAACCTACCCATCAACGTTATACATTCCGGTAACATTTGGGGATCCTACAGGCATTTTCCATTACCATCGTTGGAATTAAAACTTGTTCAGAGTGCTTACGTTACGCAGATGGTATGTTAAGGTGTTCTATTACATTTTATTATAAATAATAATAATTAATGTTTACTTATAATAGGTACAAGAAGATCTGAGTACTATTTGCTGGGCACAGAGCAGAATGTCTCGCATTAACCATGAAAACCTCATTGATGTAATTTATACGTCTGTTAATTTTAAAGATATCATGGTAGCTATTGGCAGGCTCAACGCTGAAATTATGGCAACGTACGAACGCAGTAACGACTGTTTTATTGGCTTGGAATTTGTTGGTTTTAATACGCATAAGCAGAGGATAATGGGATTATGTTCACACGGGTATATAAGATATAGAGTATTAATACATATAGATATACGATAAAAAGAACTCTTTGCAATTGACAGGATTAATTTCTATTTTATATGAGTACCGTTAATTAGTATTAATAATGTTTTAATTTAAGTAACATTAATTAAAATTTAATATTAAATTAAAAATATGCAAGATATACGTCATTTTAAAGTAACGTTTAAATAAATAAATACATTTTCAAAATTTTTATGCATAGAGGAATGACGAACATTCTTGTGGCCGATAAATATCTCAATTGGATTATACCTGACAAGTGGACAATGGAAGACGCAGCAACCGTTCCGTGTGTGTACAGCACGTGTTACTATATATGCTTTATACATGAGGGGTAAAATGAAAAAGGGAGACAAAATCTTAATCCATTCTGGTACTGGAGGCATTGGTCAAGCTGCGATCCATCTTGCGCTTCACGAAGGTTGCGAAGTGTTTACGACAGTTGGAACTGTCGAGAAACGACAGTTTATAAGAGAAACGTTTCCTTCCATTCCCGAAGATAATATCGGAAACTCTCGAGATACAAGCTTTGAACAAATGATTATGCAGCGTACAAAAGGTCGTGGGGTGGATATCGTATTGAATTCCTTAGCCAAAGAGAAATTACAAGCATCTGTTCGCTGTTTAGCAAATGGTGGCCGTTTTCTAGAAATTAGAAAATTTGATATGTTTTCCAATAATTCTTTGGATATATCTATCTTTTCTAAAGATATCAGCTTTTATGGCATTATATTAGACAACTTATTTTATTCAAAAGCAAAACAAAAGTCAAAGTTGTGGAAAACAATAACAGAAGGTTTAAAAGACGGTGCTATTAAACCACTATGCAGAAGAGTCTTTGAAAGAAATGAAATAGAAGCTGCCTTTAGATATATGGCCGCTGGAAAACATATTGGCAAGGTACAATTATTTCTTAATATACACAAAAATATGTAATTATGATACAGAATATTTTATCATATTAAATTAGAAACAATTCTTTGTTTCTAATTAATGCTATAAAGGTAGTAACAAATGTAGGTTTATTTAAATTATATTTGACCAAGAAACTTTTTGTATTTATATTAATAAATAACGTTAATTATTAATTAATTAAAATTAATTAATAAAAAATTAATGATAAAATGCAAAATAATATCAATAATAAAATAAAATATGAAATCTTTGTTATTTATAATTTATTACTTTATAGAAAAAACGATTGTTTTTTAATTGCTTATTCGCAGATAATTATCAGAGTTCACAAAAAGGAAGAGCCTTTGGATGCTCCACTACTCGCTCATCCACGATATTATTGTTTGGAGCATAAATGCTACGTTATTTTAAGTGGACTTGGCGGATTTAGTTTAGAGCTAGCAGATTGGTTGACTCTTCGAGGTGCAAAAAATCTGGTATTAACATCACGAACCGGGATCAGAACAGGTTATCAGCAATCAAGAGTAAAGCTATGGCGATCTTACGGTGTGGATGTACAGATTTTTACAGTCGATGATAATTTGAAACATGAAGATTGTGAATCCCTATTAAAATTTGCTGAAGAAAGAGCACCAGTGGATGCCATATTTAATCTTGCAGTTGTTTTAAAAGATTGTATATTTCAAAATCAATCACCTCAAACGTTCGAGAATTCATTCAAATCAAAAGCATGGATGACAAAAAAAAATGGACGAATTGTCGAGGAAGATCTGTCTGCAACTTCAACATTTTGTCGTTTTTTCCTCCGTGTCATGTGGAAGAAAAAACACAGGCCAGACAAATTATGGGATGGCTAATTCCGTAATAGAGAGAATTTGTGAGAAAAGGATGGAAATAGGATTATTACACGGTTTAGCGATACAATGGGGTGCTGTTGGTGATGTCGGACTCGTGGCAAATATGCAAGAAGAAAATAAGGAATTGGTTATTGGAGGTACATTGCAACAACGAATATCTTCATGTTTGGAGACATTAGAAGTGTTTCTGTTACAAGATCGATTTGTTGTAAGCAGTATGGTTGTTGCTGAAAAAGCAAAAATTGGCGGATCAATGAATATTTATGAAACAGTTGCTCATATGATGGGTAAGCAGTTTTATGCAAAGCTAAACAAAGACAAATACTAAATACATATAATGGTCATGAAATAAAAGTAAAATCAAAATGTTATTCCAAGTATATTTATTGGAATAAGTAATATTTTAAAAAATATATTTTTTGCACAAAATTACAGGAATACTTATAACATTTGGAAAATTATCTTACAATTACTGCAGACTTAACACTTTAAGTCTTAGGAGGCCTCTACGTGTTTCTCTCGTTTTAATTACTGTATAATTTAGGTCCTAATCAAAATTTTTAGATTATAATTAATATTTAGAAAAAAGTTGTTTTTTCTGAAAATTTAGTCAGCGATAAAATAAGATCTCTGAAAGAAAGAAAGAGGAGATAAAGCAGAAAGCAAAATAAATTAATGTCCCTTGTCTTTTAACACAAAAGTATTCAACTAATAAATAATTTTGTCTAGAATTTTTGTTACGTATTATTCAAATAATAATCATATCGATTTATTCTACTGTTGTTTGTCACATAGTTTCCTTTGTACATGTAATTGTAATTAATAACGAATTCAGTTGGTCGCACTAGTGCGTACTAGCGCATTCAAATGTTTAACCAAATTCGCTATAAATAAAGTGACATCCATTGGTTGTCTACATCTCAATCAGTTTTAACAATATCAGAGCGATGAACAGAGTAAAAGTTATCTTAACAAGTTTAAGAGCTATAATTGTTACACTTTTTAATAGTTATTACTTTTTTTGATAGTTATCTGTTTACAATTATTTGTAAAAAAATACACACATAAAAAAGGGAATTATACAGAAAGAGGGTAAGCTCATTGATTTTAATGACCTTGACATATGTTGTCAAGAACGTGATCTTGAATAACTTTTTCTTATAACTTTTTCTTATAACTTAATCGGCGGTCATTGTTTATTTCAAAGTTAAGAACAAATGTAACTGAAAAATATAACAGTTTATGTCAGTGCTAAGGGAAGTAATTTACTGATATGTGTGTAGAAACAGTACATATGTAGGCGGGGGAGAGGCTACCCCGCATGCAGGGATGGGTGGGGGTGGACCTCGATTCGCGTGGAAAGTTGAAAACTTCAATCGTACAATGATATAGACCTTGTTTTGCCCTATAAGCAGAGTGGGGTGGGGTAAACTTCAATGTAATCAAAGATCTGACCTAACCCAATTGTTGTATGGGTGAGAAACTTTTCACGCGAACCAAGGTCCACCCCCATCCACCCCTGGGTGCGGAGAAGAGACGATAGCCCTTTTCCGCCTACACGTGTACTGTCTATACACACATATCAACAAATTACTTCTCTTAAAACTAATGTTACTTTATAATACTTTATAATAAAAAAAGTAATAAAATTGTGAAACTTCAATTTGCTATTTTTTCTAAACCAATGCCGTCCTTCACTTATTTTTTGCGTAGAATTACTCAAAAAGACTCCCTCCCCTTACAACATATTTAAGTGGCGATAAAATCGGTGAGTGCTGACCTTTTATGCATATTTACCAAGAAATGTAATAATTTGATTCTTAATTAAAATTTTTGTTATATATTCAATTTTAAAAGATTAATTAAAATAACATAAAATTGATTTTATTATACAATTCTTACTTCATTTCAAAATAGGATTAAAGAACATAAACGCGGTGCCATCAAATATGCCACTGGTCGAAATGGGTATGGATTCGATGATGGCAGTAGAAATTAAGCAAATATTGGAAAGAGAGTTCGATATTTCCTTGACAGCGCAAGACATTAGATCTCTAAATTTTGCTAAACTTCGACAAATGACAATTACAACCAAACAAGGAATGATACACGATACAAACAAAATTGATCCAAGTAATTTGGAAGGCTTTGACATGTTGATTCGAAAAATGAAGGATGCAGACTTTGTTCCAGATATTCTTGTAGAATTTGTTGAGTAAAATAAAGGTTTTCGTACTTTCTGTCTTACTATTTGAGTTTAGTGCGTACCTGTCGTGCGCGCATGAAAGACTGCCACGCCACTGACGGAGCTTTACTTTTATCCGCCAGGGGCGCCTATAACAGTATCGAACAGTCTCGGGTGCATTCGGGGAGCACGCTATTAGCACAATTATCGTCCAAAACTGTTCGAGGAGATGCTTTGTGGCGCTGTGATATACGATGATGACGTCACTGTAAAGGCAGCGTGACGTCATCACTCGCGCTATTTTCGCTATTATTTTCGAGGTGAAGCACGAAATACTATTGGCGCTTAAGCTGCGTTCGGGCAGCTTGCTATCGCTGTCGCGCTATTGGCTCTTCGAACGAAGTTCATAGGGTGCATTCGGGGAGACGCTATTAACGCTATAAACGCAAACGCTATGAACTTCGTTCGAAGAGCCAATAGCGCGACAGCGATAGCAAGCTCCCCGAACGCAGCTTAAGCGCCAATAGTATTTCGTGCCTCACCTCAAAAATAATAGCGAAAATAGCGCGAGTGATGACGTCACACTGCCTTTACAGTGACGTCATCATCGACTATCACAGCGCCACAAAGCGTCTCCTCGAACAGTTTTAGACGATAATTGTGCTAATAGCGTGCTCCCCGAATGCACCCATAGCGTTTGCGTTTATAGCGTTAATAGCGTCTCCCCGAATGCACCCCTCGTCGATCGATTCACTCTGTACGGTCGGTTAATAAATTGTTCTCTTCAGTATACACGTGCGTCGAATTGAATATCCGCCATCATCCTAATCCTCGAACCTCAATTCTCACAGCGTGACTCAACAGGTTATGGGCCCAGTCATCCGAGTTGAGCTATGAGATGAGCGAGAGCGCAGGGACATTAAAATACGTGTTCGCTGCGTCTTCGCGTGGCGAACCGGGTCGCAGCCATATTGCGCAAAACCACGCGCGGGGCAAGTGATCGAACGGTCGCGAGTTAAAAACGAGGACATAAAAGATGTCGGAAAAAGTGTCTGTGCGACAAGTGCAAAAACTCGACGGTACGAACTTCCTCACCTGGAAGTTCCAGATGAGAGCCGTATTCATGGCGGCGGGAGTGAGTGACATAGTCGAAGGCACGCGAACGCAACCGATCGGCGCTCAAGATCCGCAAACCGCGGTATGGAGAAGAGACAATGCCAAAGCAATGGTGCTAATCTCGACAACGATCGAGCCGTCGCAGCTAGAGTCATTGATAACGTGCGACACGGCAAAAGCAATGTGGGATACCCTGTGCCAAGTGCACGAGCAAAAATCCTCGGCTAACAAGCTATTCCTGATGCAAAAGTTTTACGACTACAAAATGGCGTCGGGTGATACGGTCGTGCAACACGTGGCCAAAGTGAAGAACATGGCGGCTCAGCTAAGAGACGTTGGAGAAGCGATGTCGAACCACACCGTGATGGCGAAAGTTCTAGCAACATTGGCGCCAAGATTCGGCGCATTCCAAACCGTGTGGGACAACGTCGAGGAAGGGAGACAAACCGTAGAGAATCTAACGGACAGACTCATTCGAGAAGAAGCGAGGTTTGCAAATGGAAGTGACGCCACGGAAGCGTTGGCGGTTGTGAAGAGCAGCGGTGCGAAAAACAAATCGCAGACTTCCGGAACCTCGAAGAACAGCCGTTCAAAGAAAGACGTCGAGTGCTACAAGTGTCGAGGAAAAGGACATTTCGCGCGGGAGTGTCCGTCAAAGAACAAAAAACGCGGTGACCGAGATGGAAGTGGATCGCGAGAGTATGCGTTTGTGGTCACAAAAGACGAGACGAGAACGGAAAAGCAACCGCCGAAACAAAGCGCGGATCCGTCGACAGAACAAATGCGGCGACTACTCGAGGTCGATAACAAAGACGCCTGGCTAACCGACAGTGGGGCGTCACGACACATCTCTCACCGACGTGATTGGTTCGAAGAGTTTCACCCGAGTGTGGGCGATACGGTTGTGCTCGGAAATGGTCGCGAATG